GCTCAGTGGTTAAGACCACTAGTTGTTCTTGAAGAAGACCTGGGTTCTATTCCTAACAATTACATGATGATTAACAACAATCCCTAACTCCAGTTGCAGGAGATCTAGTACACTTTTCTGACCTCTGCAGGCATTGCTTGACATATGTGTCCCTTTCTTAAATGCAGACAAGGCACTCAACACATAAAATAAAAATAATAAATGAAATATTTTAAAAAGAAATCAATGGCTGTTTCTGGAAGAGGAATAATCATTTTTTAAACCATACCTCAAGAGAGAGCCCTACACCAAACAGTATTTGTGCAGCAGAAATTGGACTTGAAGGACTTAAAAAAGAGAGGATGCAAATTGCGTGGGTTGGGAGAAAAGTGTGGATTTTGGAGGAGTTGGGGGAGCTGGAAAATTATGGTAAAAATCCATTGCTGGGAAATCTCAAAAAATTAAAAAATACACACACACAAAACAAACATATACATATAAGTATATTTTATATATCAGCTATTCCGCATTGCTTAATAATGCTACTTCTAGAAGTGATGAATTATTCAACAAAATCCCAGTACCAGTTGTGAGATACCACTTTTAAATTGATGGTCAGGTAGGTCCCACAGTTTTCCCAAACATTACAGGCCCTTGGCATTGCCCTCATTTCCTACCAGAACTAGAAGACAAGATCCTATCACTAAAGACATCACACTCCTAGGTTGAAAGTTACTAAGAAGTGATGATAAAATGAGCTGAAAACCCCATTCCTCCTGGTTTCTTTCATAATACTAGTAGGCCTTGAGCTCTGCAGGCCACTAGGGGAGAAAAGGCATCAGTAGGCTTACCCAGCTGTGATCTCCAGCAACAACAGGACCATCCCACCAGGCAACATTACCCACTGTTTAATAGAGGCATAACTGTTATGGAGCAGCCAACATCAATTTCCTCTGTCCAATGAATGGGGATGAGTGTAGAGATTCTTGGCTGCTGAAGGTGTGAGAATAAAGGATGTTTGAGTTCTCAGCCCTCAAGAGGAAATTTATACCACTCCCTCTAAGGCACGAGAATATTGTAGAATGTAGAGCTGGAAGATACAGAGACACACTGCAAAATGCTAACCAATCATGGATTGTGGAGGGACTCATGGAGCCCAAACCCTCCCTTTTTAATGTCTTCTGATGGACTCTGGGTGATGGGACTATTATCTTCAAGTATGTGCCCACTATGAGTCCCCTAGGCTCCACTGCAAAGTCCTGTACACAAGGTTACCCAAAGAGGCCATGGGTAAACTCAATGGGCCATAAAGAAAAACATGAACATCAGAGAGACAGAGTGAAGAGGGTGGTTCACAGGGGTAAGAGGGAGATAAGATAGGGTGGGGTGAGTCACTAAAATGTATTTTATACATATATGAAATTGTCAAAAATTTAAAAAGTAATACAAATCCAAATAAACAAATAAATATAAATTTTAAAGTATTTTATCCTTTCATTCAGAATTCTGAGCCTGTTGAACTTGAATTCCCTTGCTATGATCAGGTTCTCAGTTCCCTTGCTCTCTGGTATTGTGGTTGAAACCCTGGGTAGTAAGTACTGCCTGCAGAATGTGAAGAAACGGCATTCCTCATCACAGGAGGCCTGTGGGTCCAGAGTTCTTGGTTCTTGCTGGGTGGAGATTGCTCCTAGCTCTTGGGAGGTGATTCCCCGTCCCATTGTACACCTATGAAATTTGGCCACATTAGAGGAAAGAAAATAATGTCTGTAAAAGTGTGGAGCTGTCACTGAAAATTCCACTCAGCAGGTCCATTTACACATTCAGAGTCAGTTCAGTATGCAGCTAAGCTCTGAGGACACTGCCTTGCATCACTGTGCTGGAGACACAGAGATCTGACTTTACTGTAACTTCAGAAGAAACCAACTATTGGGTGTGTTCTCAGGACCAGCAGGGGTTGCTGTGGATCCACCGATGTCTAGGAAAGGAAATATAAGGGGTGCATATAAAAATTGGGTGTGTGATGAAAAGGGTGGATCTGGGAGCTAATGGGAGAGGTGGAGGATTAAAAGAACTTGTATGAAATTCTCAAAGAATTAATAAAAATAAACAAACTTGACAGTGAGGTACTATTGAGATTCCAAGGTTTCCTTTTCTAACCTCCTATGATCTTTAGAGAGCATTTAACATATATGATGCAGTTACTCTCTCGGGTCTCTAAGTTTAAGCTCAGTCAACATTCTTTGTTAAATACTGATTCACATGTTTTATTTTTATTTAGTATGTAAGGAAAGTATAGAAAGGACAAACATTAATACTATGTCCACAAGAATACTATAAAATTACATAAGGTGTCAATCATCATCCTCACTATCGTTTTCATGATCATCTGTAAATGAATATGATGATTTTTCTCCACTTGAATGAGGGATTTTTCTCAGGCTGGAATATGAGTTTTTGTCTTTGGTGCTCGGTTCTTGATATTTTATCCACAAAGTTGAGCACATGCAGCTCTTCTGCTTGGTGGCTCTTGGAGACCCTACTTTTAGCTTACCACCATGGGGAACCATGACTCAGGGGACCAGGGGAAGCTGGACATAAACTTATAATCCTTTATTATTTATCTTTATGCCTTTATTATATTATATATTTCAATCATTTGTATATATTATTCTCTAATATTACAATATTTTTAGTCAGGTAAATAATACCAAGCTTAGAAGATGGTACCTATAATTAGGAACAATGATTAGACAAACCTGAATTAATTTCAGACTCTCTCTGCACATAGCCAGGATCCTGAATGTAGAGAAGAGAGGGCAGCCTCACACCTATACAAAACCACTGTCCCTCACTTGTGAATTTGGACAGTGTTCCAAATGATAACATCCTGGATGTCAAGGTCACTTCCATAGGCTAACATTCCTCTGAACTTCATATGGGATAAGCTTCATCACTGTCTGGTCTTGTGAGTAAGGAATGAGAGTCCTTCAACCTGGTTGGGTCCTGGGATATAGGCATAGCATCCATCCCAGGGTTCAGATTCACTTCCAGAACTTTCCATTAACTGAGAAGGAATAAGCTATTCAGTGTTAAACTACTGGAATTTAAGCTTAATGTGATGCAGTTTCAACCAGTAATGGACAAATGACATTTAGAATACATGAGACTAGATGGTGCTTCTGACACAGGTATTGCATGGCATATAAAAATGATTTTAATTGTTTCTCCAGCCAGTGCAAATCCGGAAGACTATTACACATGTCATAAACATGTAACACGCATGGTGCCATCATTTAAAATCCAGGTGACCGTATTCCCAATGGATGAACTGGTATTTCATTTGCTCAACAGTTCTTCCCTTTCCTGGGTTTTCCCCTCACATATCAATTTGAACAACAGTGTATCCCCAGTCATGCTTTTAGGAGTGTATTTAAATGAACACCAACTTCAATATATCTGTGATCTGTAATTCTGAAAGTTATGAAACATAATTCAGTGAAAGAGCCCCAGTGAATGAAAAAAATTGCTCTAAATTACAGTAACATTTCCTAAAGTTTGAGACCTCATTGGCATGGTGCCTAACATCTGAATTTATATGTTTGTTATATTAAATTTATATATGAAATAAATGTCATTACATTTTTGCCATTTATTTTACCTTATATTTTGGTATAGTTTCTTTTTCTCAATGTATATTTATTTATTAAATTTTTGTGCATTTCACATAATACATGATCTATAAGTAAACCATAGATTGAAATTCAATGTAATATTTGCAACTTTCAGGGAAATAACCAAGGTCTTAGAGCACTTCTTATATAATCCCTAACCCGGAGTTTCATTCAATTCCTCAGCTGATACTCAGCATTATGGGCTTGGTTTCTCTTTCCTTTAGTGCTACAACTTTGTGGGAATGTGAGTTTTCATGGTTTTGATGCATCTTGATACCCATTATATTTCAAGTTTTGCATGTGAAGATGTTTTATTCATGAAAATGACTTGATTGTATTTGTTATAGCTTTCTTTAATGAAATCAATTCTCTCAAACTTCTTTTCATATCATATTTTGAAATATATTTATACCAAACAAGTGAAGTTATAAGTTGCCTAGGATTAGGGAACTCATATTTCTAAGACCCACAAATGAATGTTGATGAAGATGAGGACTATCAGAGATGCACTTGAACATCTGAGAGCGATGGAGAGAATCCTCATGCCCTATGGGCTGTGACTATTGGTGTCATCCGCCCTCTGTGCTCTCCTTCAAAGTGTTCTTCACCTGGGGAATTGAGCAAATGTAATAACAAGACTGTACTTCCTGTTTGTGTTTTCTACTGTTGCTTTTAAAATTTCCAGAAATGGCTGGTAGTATAACAATGAAGCCACTAACCATCAGACAAATACGGTTCAGAATAAAGCAAGATAAGAAATTATCAGGATTAGTAAAGCCAGCAAAATATGACTAATTCCATGCAATCATAGGGCTCATAATGTCCAGCCTGCAGGTGGCACATACCCTAACATTAAGTAAGAACTCTACAAACTTTGTACCTTTTTCAGTGAGAAAAATATGTACTAACGGGACTCATAAGAAGCCACATTCTGGTCTCAGGTAGAGAACATCATGAAGCCAGGAAGAACACCACCTCTCTGAGCTTTCCACATTCCCTCCAGGCACAAAATGCAAGGTGATGTTACTGGATGAGTGAACATAGACAACACCCTGCATGCCAGAGTGAGGGTCTATCAACCTTGCTAAATGCCCACAGAACTCATCATAGAATTGTGTAATATGTCTCTTGGTCTTACAATATTGACCCATACCAACGGGAAACAGAAATGAAGTCGCCAAATGGCTCCTGAGCCATCCAACCCCGACTGGCTCCTTTTGAGTCCTGGGGCACAAGGAGTCACCATCTATGTCAGCACCTGGTTTGGAAATGCAAATTTCCCCAGCTCCACCCATACTTGGGTTGAAAAGCCAAGCAAGGCTGGGCCTGGGTGCTGACTGGTGTGCAGCTATGGACAGGCTTCCTTCCTTCCTCCTGCTGCTGACCATCCCTCCATGTGAGTGCCAAGGATCCCTGAGGGAGGAAATCTCCTGTCCTTGAACTGAGCCCTCATCACTTGCTTGTGTTTCTCCACAGGTGTGCTGTCACAGATCACCCTGAAGGAGTCTGGTCCTGGGCTGCTGCAGCCATTTCAGTCTCTCAAGCTCACCTGTTCCTTCTCTGGATTTTCTCTGAGCACTTCTGGAATAGGTGTGGGCTGGATCCGTCAGCCCCCAGGGAAGGCTCTGGAATGGTTGGCACACATTTGGTGGGATGATGATAAGAATTACAGCCCATCACTGAAGAGCCGACTCACAATTTCCAAGGACACCTCCAAAAACCAGGTGTTCCTCACCTTGACCAGTGTGAACCCTGAGGATACTGCCACATACTACTGTGCTCGGAGGGCACAGAGATACAGCCTTGGGTGATGACAATACATATTCTCAGGATGGGTATCAATCAGTTCTGCTCCCTCCTACTTAACAGGAAAGTGGGGGGCATTCATCTTCCTAATAGCCTCTGTGGTTTCCTGTTTACCCTGGGCCTCCTCAGAGTCCTAGCTTCCTGTTTCACATCATAGTTCTCTTGATAGTTGTTCCTGAATAAGAGTCTGCCTTCCCTTTTATAAATATGAAAGACTGGCTTCAGATCACCGCCTTTAGCATATTTGCTCTTTGCAGGTCAAACCCTGGGACGACGACGTGAAAAGTGATGGAAGACCTTTCTAAGAAGTCATCAGCATGGAGAGAAAGGAAGAAGCCCACCTCATCTACTCTTTTGTACTTATGTTTTAACATCCCACCCGATAATCTCCAGTTACACAACCCAGTGAAGCCACAATTTTGTCTAAATTCCAGCTATGCTACATCCTGGAGACTATTTTCTGAAAGGCATTGACTTTGTTCACACCACAGTGGAACACTTGTTTTTCTTGGTTTTCCTGCTGACGGTTCCCAGCTATGAGTGCTCCATAGATGCAGATTGTAAAATACTGGGCTGCTGTTCTGAGCATGACTCACTGTGGTTATTTGTCTTCAGGTATTCCTTCGCAGCTACAGATGTAGGATGTGCAAACTTGCCTAGTGAAGCCCTCACAGATCTTATGCCTCACTTACTGCTTCTGGTTACTCCATCACCAGTGGTGGTTCATAGAATTGGGTATATAAGCTTCCAGTTTAAAATCTGGAGTGCCTAGAGCATATCTGTATATATGAAGAGACTAACTACATCTTATCCATCAAGAGTGGAATCATTATGAAAATAGACACATCTAAGAACCAGTTTGCCCTGGATCTGAGCTCCATGAGTACCTAGGACACGGTGGTGACTAAGTATTACTGTGTGAGAGACACAGTGGTGGGACTTCAGTGTGAGCCCAGACCCAATATCCCCATAGGTGACAGAATGCCTGGAGTGCAGAAGGCATGCAAGGCAAAACTAGCCCTGGGTTTCAGCCCAGATGCAGTTGTAGGAAGAAGTGACTAGGCCACCTATGGGCTCAGAGCTTTCTTCCCTGCTCAGCATCTCAGCTGCCAGGAGAAACATCATGTCCATTCCTTGGCTTTGTGTCTGTTTTCTCACATCCTCAGTGTGACAGTAGAGTGACTAGTAGCTTCAGATTTCAGATGAGGATGGGGAGCAGGAACTTTGGCTTCACCTACTTCCCTTTCCATAAAATAGTATGTAAAGGATTCTCAGCTTCCTTCAAATGGTCTATGAGTTTAATTGCATGAATTCACAATTTGTATGTGCAACATTCATGGACACTAGGATCATTTAGAGTGTGGCATCTTAGAATATAATTAAGGGCAAAATTTTCCATAAAGTTTAGAAGCCAACCAAATGAATCATGTCTTTATGGACAGATGAGAGAATTGTACACCAGACCAGACCGTGCCTGCTTCCTTTTCTCTCTTTTCTTTCACACAAGTAAAATTCCAAGTGGGGAACCACCAAGATCATTTGCTGGGACCAGGCTACTCCCATATTGTGTAAAACAGTGGCTTTCCAGGCTGTGCTGTCCCTAGGAGACTCCATTTCAGCTGCTGATTTTTTACCTCATTTTGAGGGAGAAGGATGATTACAGCCCCTGGGCTGAACAAGCACTGCATTTTTCAGGCATCACCCAGGCAGCCCAGGCTGAAAAATTGCATATTTCTGGAAGTAGGAAGGGATCCAACCTATAAGTTTATTGGGGTGAATTGGACTATATGGGCCCATGGGTGTATTAAAATCATGTCAAAGAATCCAGATCCAAAACCTTAAAACTTAGAACCAAGCGATTCAGAAAATAGAAAGCTGCATGTGTGGTCTGTGAGCACAAGTAACATAGGTGGAGAATAGAATGGGTTCTAACTAGCCCTGTTCTTCCATTCCCAATGTCATGAGATAGTACAAGCACCAGACCCCATTAATGACAGATTCACCATACCCATAGACTATTCCAGGAACATGCAGGACGTACAAGGGGGCAGCTTGAGCTGAGTATTACTATCATCCACTACTGTATCAGAAACACAGTGGGGAGTCATCAAAGTAAACCAAAAAGTAAACCTCCTTGCAGGGTGCTCACTGTCTGTGCTGCCTTCCCATCTAACCGCTCTCTCAGAAAACCTCTCTAGATTTATGATATATACTAGCCTCTAGTGTTAAAATGTGTAAAAATGTGTCCCTAGTGTTAAAAATGTAATATCCAGTCAGAAATGAAAATGAAGAATCTCATTATTTGAGAAGAAACGACTGTTACCATCACCAGAATCCAATCCTAAAGAAACTCGGGAGATCCTGTGACTTGTTCTCATGTCCCCCAGTCCACTTTGTTCCATGAATAAAAACGACTTATGGATTTTGTGGTCTGTGATGAATTATGTTAATTGTCCACTTGACAGGCTTTATAATCACTTAGGAAATGTCTTTGAGAGATTAGTTATATTATCTGTGCTTCTGGGAGTTCTTGTGAGGGAACTTCCAGATTATCTTAATTGAATTAGGAAGACCCAGCCTAAATATGGGAGGTACTATTGGGGGTGGACTGAATGAAAAGCAGATAGTGAGTTAAGAGCAAACACTCATCTCTCTCTGCTACTAGGACGTGAATACAACATGAATAGCTGCATATATCTCCTGCCACCTTGACTTCATCACTATGATGGGCAGTACCTATGAACTGGGAACAAAAATAAACCCTTCCATCCAAGTACTAACCAAGCTCAGTCCTGTTTAGTTTCCAAGTTCAGATGAGAATGGGTGTGTTCAGGGTGAAAAATAATGCTTAGGTAGTTTTAAATAGCTGAGAGAATCATAGTAGTCCAACAACCTAATGATAAATTATACATACACTATCTCTACATGGGTCCATGTGTATAGTTAAGGCTACATAACAAGAAACAATACCAGACAGGAGAAAATTTCCTTTGCATTGTTGGCCAGGGTAATCCAAGAGACTCCCAAAATTACTCCAACTATTACCACAGCCTTTGATGGCCTCCCAGAACTTAAATGTAATACCCTACTGCTGAAGACTGAACATACTTTGGACATAGGATTTGGAGCAATAGAGCTGCAACTGACCTGAACCACTTCCTCTGAAGGCTAGCTCTCATGGCTTTGGAGAACGCTATGAAGGTGCCAAGAGAAAACATCAATCAACGGTCCAACACCAGCTTCAAGACCAAATAACTACATCAATGGCCAGCACAGCATACGTCACTGGAGTAGCAGTGGCAGTTTTATCTTGGGGGTGATCAAGAGCTACCTAATTGGACTAAAAGCCAACTCAGTGGGAGGAAACTCAAGTGTGGTACTGTAAACATAACCAAATACATGTAGTTGGAGTGGTCATACTTGTTAGAGAAAACTCCAAGACTGTCACGTGATTTCTAGACTAATGTGATTTCTTAGTATGTGCAAAATATGTATCCTTATATTTACAGCCGAATATCCCAGTCACCACTCATCAAATAAACTCATTTTTCAGCAACTGGACACTATTACCACTTACCACAACTGTTCATACACAAATATTGTCTATGAATTGCCCAGGCCTAAGTGACATGTCTACAATGCAACCTCTATACCTAAGGCTCATGGAACATAGAACAGTGGTGAAGAAGACACTAATGAATCTCTCAGATCTCATTAATGGCGCTCCCTTATGCCGTAGAGGGTCAGGAACACAAAAGGTCACCAATGGCCAAAGAGGAGAGGTCAAGTCTGTTGAATGCTGGTCCTTGGACAGGACTAATTTATTAAACTTCACCCACCCAAGGCTCAGGGACCACTGAAAATGAAGAGGTGGAAAGATTGTAAAAGCCAGGGAAGAGGTACATGGCCATATCAAAACAGAGTCCTAAAACCTCCTGGGAACATGCTCATATCTTTGTATGACAATGGTGTCAGCATACACAAATCTCATACAAACTCAGGCAGACAAAAACCCAATATATAACTGGGAAAATGAACAGCAAACCCCAATCTTATCCGAAGAAATATTGGCAAATGATTGCTCCTAGGTGAAGAAGAGCTGGTTTCCTTATGACAAGGGAATCTCAATAGGCTGACTAGACCTCAGTGGACAGATTTGTACTGGGGAACATCTGGGGACACTGACTTGACACAGTGGGCTTAACAGGGATGACAGAGTATGGGCTCCAGTTTGGGGGTGGTATGAGAGGGTGCCAGTGGGGACAGGGTATAAAGATGAGATATTCTGTATGAAATACACAGAAATTCAATAAAATCAAATTAAATAAAAAACCCTTCCTTCTTATGCTGATTTTGCTATATATTTTTTGTCTCTGCAGCATAGGAAGTAAATAATACAGAAAACTGGTACCAGTAACTGGGACAGCTGCCATGATAAGCCTGAACATGTGGCTTAGGAATCTGGAAATGATTTCCTGAAGGAATGTGGAAGAGTTTAGTACTTTGGACTAGAAAATCATAAGGATACTGTGAACTGAGCATAGTGCACCACTCGGGTGGAGCGTGGAGATTGCTGAGATGAATGTGAACATTGTAGGCCTGGCTCTTGAGAAGGAAATGTATTCTCTATCAGGAACTTAGCTGTTGACCAGTGTTGTGATATTCTGGAAATGTATGTGATTATATCCTGTGCATGCAAAGAGAACTTGAGTAAAGTTGAATTCAAAGGTTATGAATTACTTTGTTTGGTGGAAGGAATTTCAAGATACTCATCAAGTGTTACATCTATTTATCAAAGACTATAGTGAAATAGAGTAAAAATTTAGACACAAGGTCATAAAAATACAGTTTATTGAGGAAACAAGCTTGAACATGTGAAAAGCTGAAGCTAAAGTGAGTGTAGAAAAGTGTGTGCTTGTTAAAAAGAAACCCCCTACCATACTCAAAAGGAAAAGTGCTGAGGCCAAGACCACACCCCTTAAAGCTTCCAGTTTACAGAAGTACA